ACCTGTGGGGCCCCCGGCGGGGCTGCCTTCCCCATTCCTGCGCAGTGCCGTGTGGCTCTTGCTCAAGAGGGTGCAGCCAGCTCTCTGCGGCGCCCAGGGAGGGCGTGGAAGGCGGAGCGCTCGCCAGCTGGGACTGGCTCCGGAATGACTGGGCGCTCCCCCGCTGGGGGTAAATAGCCTAACTCCCCTTTCTCTTTCTGCTCCGATCAGTCCCACGCGCTGACCTGCAGAGACCGGGAACCGCAACCCAGACAGCCTGAGAGACCCGGGTCTGCCCTGGAGCGCGTCTCTGTCGCCCAGGACCCGGCGTTGGGTACGGGGGGCGAGGAACGGGGGCAGCCGGAATGACTGGGCGCTCCCCCGCTGGGGGTAAATAGCCTAACTCCCCTTTCTCTTTCTGCTCCGATCAGTCCCACGCGCTGACCTGCAGAGACCGGGAACCGCAACCCAGACAGCCTGAGAGACCCGGGTCTGCCCTGGAGCGCGTCTCTGTCGCCCAGGACCCGGCGTTGGGTACGGGGGGCGAGGAACGGGGGCAGCCTGCCGGGCCTGGCTGTGATTCTAGGGTGCCGGACCAGCGGAGAGATGTTTAAATACACCCCCCCATGGCAGGTCCTCTGTGCCGCCCTGGAGCCCAGGGTGCAGGTAAGCACAATGGCGAGACGCTTTTAGGCTCATTCTTTTGTGTCTGGAGGAGGCTGTGAGACCTAGTGATTAGAGCAGGGGGGGCAGATGGATCTGCAGGCAGATGGATCCTGCTCCAGTAGCATTTCCATCTCTGGCGCCGTGTGCTGGGACAGGGTTAGGCTGTGGGTACGGAGTCCTGGGCTCCATTTGTGCCTGAGGGGAAGGAGGGGAAAGGATTCCTGTGCTGTCTGCTCCCTGCTCTGGGAAGGGGGGTGGCCCTAGGGGGTTCCAGCCCTTGGAGCCAGGACTCCAGGGGCCATTCTGTTCCCTAGCAGGGGACAGGGAGCCAGGATCTCAGTGCCTGCCTCTGGGCCACGGCTGCTGGGGTTACCGCCAAGGGGCTTTCGTGCCCCGC